TATATGGGAGGAGGGTTTCCCCTCTGTTCCATGGCCTCCATGGCAGCGGAGGGGTGGGAGCGCCTCCTAGATTGGATCTCTCTCTCTTTTCCGTGTTCCTGTTTTCTGGCCTTTCACCATTTCTTAAATTCCCGAAGATCCGTAACTTTGATTGGCTGAAATTTTAACACGATTTTTATCCGGATATTATCTTTCTTGCGGCGAAATAAGGGCACCAAATGCCTTAAAGGGGACCCACAAGCCCTCTAGGCGCGCCCAGGGTAGGGGGCGCGCCCCTCAAGTTTGTGGCCCCTCAGGCATTGCCTCGTGTTGATTCTTTTTCCCAAAAATCACAAATATTCCAAAATAAACCTCCGTAAATTTTTATGCGTTTGGACTTCGTTTGCTATGGATATTCTGCGAAACAAAAAATATGCAACAAACAGGAACTGGCACTGGGCACTGGATCAATATGTTAGTCCTAAAAAATAATATAAAATGTTTCCAAAAGTATATGAAAGTTGTAGAATATTGGTATGAAACAATAAAAAATTATAGATATGACGGAGGCATATCAGCTCTCCCCCGGTGGAAGGCCGCCGGAAGCAGAAAAGATCTGATCCAAGATCAGTCTCTAGCCGGCGCCGCCCGTGCCTGGCATGCCAACTGCCGGTGCACAATGCCGTTAGATCCCTCGGTAGGGGTCCGAACGCAGCTGGAAGTCCTGGATCGAAGATCGCACAAGGGGTTTATCCAGGTTTGGGCCTCCGGAGAGTAATACCCTACGTCCTGCTGGTTTTTGTTATTCATGATGGACGGATACCTCGTGTGAGGGCTTACAATGGTGTATGAGATTGCTACCGAGAGTTTGCCTATCTGATGATTGATGGGAATGAGGTTCCCAGACCTCTCTTTATATAGGCAGTAGATGTCCAGGGTTTACACGGTGAATGCGATCTAGGACGCCGCCGCCCTCTAGGCGGGCACGAAGGTCACCAGCGCCTCCTAGGGCTTCTTCCTTGTTCTGGGCCAAGCAGGCCCCTTGTAGATACTGAGGCCGGACTCCCTTACACGAGCCACCCCCGATACAGGGCCCCGTCAATAACCAATCAAGCAAAAGGAACTAGGATTTGTGATTTATGGTTGTGTGCCCTAGCCACACGCAAGAGGCTTATGGTGGTTGGGATTCCAGGGAAAATGGTGACCGTCAACCTAGCAGAGCAGCTCCACGATGGAGGGCGCTGTCAGCAGCGAGCGAGAGAGGCATGGATAGGGGCCCGAGTCGAGGTGAGAACAATCACGGAGGAAGGAGAAAACCATAGAGGGAGTCGCCCTCGAGATCGTCCTACAAATTGCCTCACCGCCAATCACGGAACCGCCACACCTAGGACGGCCTGGGGGCAACTTTGTTAGTTATTAACCAACAACATTACTACTTACATGCCTTGGCGAGCAACATCGCAGCTTTGCTTTCGTGACTGAAGGAATTCACTAACCCAAATTATCCACAGCACATCAATCGATCGCTAGGAGATATGAGACAAGTCTGGAATGGATGCTTCGAGTTCCTACAAGCCAACATACAAATCCCAAACCACGACGACACTTTCATGGCATGGTGGGAGAGGACACGTGCATCCTTTCGAGGAAAGGTCAAAAGTTGTTTCTACTCTTTCGTCATTGCTACCGTGTGGCACCTATGGAAGCAAAGAAACGCAAGAGTGTTTAGTAGGTACGACCAACTCAGGTCAGACACAAGCTTAGTGCATCTAATTCTCGAAGAGATTAAACTTTGGAAGTCGGCGGGAGTAGGTGTTGAGGGTTTAGCTAGATTTGTGAGAGAGTGGGCTTTTTCCTTTTGTGTGGAGTCGGAGGTCCCGTCTGGACGCCTCGTCGTCTTGCACGGTCTCTTGTAATTAACATTTCTCTCTTCTATAAAAATACGATACGCTTTTGGCGTACTCTCGAAAAGAAAAACAAGAACGAGAAGAGATGACAAAGGAAAAAACATGTACTCCCTCCGTTTTTATTTACTCCGCATATTAGAGTTGACTGAAGTCAAACTTCGTAAAGTTTGACCAAGTCTATAGAAAACAATATAGACATTTATCATAATAAATCTATTCGAGGTGAAAGTACATCCAATAATAAATCTAATGTTGTTGATTTGTTATTGTATATCATAATATTTTTGTTTATAAACTTGATAAAAGTTTATAAAGTTTGACTTTGACCAAAGCTAATATGCGAACTCAATAAAAACGAAGGAAGTACTACCACTAGTAGTTCAGTTGACACTTGACGCATGACCGAGGACAACAGTAAGAGCAACAAAAGCATGCCAACCACACACACTACATAACTTATCGCGTATGAGTATATGGCGGGGCGAATGGCAGACTCGACGCGACATCATGGTGTACCACGTGGTCGATCGGATCCAGCGACAGAGCGGGGGGCAGCCAATGTGCAGTGCCACTGCCATGCCATGCCATGCAGCCAAAACCTGAGGTCGGCCCCCTGTTCACGATCGCCGGCGGTGATCGAGTGACCGACTAACTGGCACACACCCACCTACCTAACGAAGAAGTTGACGGGACAAGCAAAAGCGGGAAACGGCTATACACACTAGTGCTCCATGCACATGCCACGCACGGCTAGCTGCCGTACATGATGACGAAGCACGGGAGCACGGCCCGGGGGTTGAACACCAGCAGCTCGGCGTCGTCCTCTCCCCCTCGTCCGCCGCCGCCCGGCGGCACGGGCACCATGGAGTCGTAGGCCACCTTGTCGCCGTCGCCGTCGCCGCCGCGAACGACGCGTCCCGCCACGACGCGGCATACCAGCATGGCGCGGCGCACCTGCAGGAACGCGAACTCGCGCTCCACCTCGTCGGGCAGCGACGCGTGCGCGGCCCACCCGCAGGAGTAGGTGGCGATGCCGTCCACGTCCGCCTGCTTCCCCGCAAACCCGTGGCGGAGGATGGTGCAGGTGCAGCAGTAGGGGCTCCCGCACACGCCGGCGCCCAGGGAGCAGAGCATGGTGGCGCAGTGGAACCGCAGCCGCTCGTTGCCGTCCGCGATGCACCGCTCCTCCACCACCGCGCCGCTGGCGCCCGCGCAGCGGCGGGCGGCGCGGGAGCGGACGAGGTCCCGGTACTCCTCGAAGCGGGAGAGCGCGCGCGGGTTGTGGTGGATCCTGAGGATGCGACTGACAGCCGGGGGATCGCCGGCACCTGGCGGGGACAGCCCCCACCCGGCGAGGAAGATCATGCGGATGATGTTCATGCTGGAGTCGAGGTGGGTGAGCTCCGAGAGGGAGTGCTTCATCGCCTGGTGGAGCTCCAGCTGCTGCGGCTTGCTCAGCACCTCACCGCACACCTTGCAAGGGAACAGGTCCCCGCGGGCGGCGAACGACCTGGACAGCTGCCTGGTCGCCAGCGGCGAGCACGGCACGAGCGGAGTGACGCTGAGGGACTGCGGCGACATCGGGGACAGGAACGGCGACGCGCACGGCGAGGACGGCGTGGAGAGCACCACGGACGCCTGACGCTGCGTCACGGACTGAGCAAGCGGCGACGACAAGGTGGTCGTGACGGCCTCATCCTGCTCCTCTCCGCCTGGAACAGAATTCTTACGCCCGGCGGAGGAGAAGATGCGGTGTATGTAGCACCGGAGACTGGTGGCGAGAGACGAGACGTGCCTGGCCCTGCGCCTGGCGCCGGCCCTCTCTTCAACACCAGTAGAGGACGACACTGCCGGGGAGAAGGCGAGCGGCGATATCTTCCTCCTCTTGCTGCTGCTGCTGCTGCTGGCAGCGCCGGCGTCGTCTTCCTCGTGCTGCTGCGAGGCAGAGCCCGGCGAGAAGCAGCAGCCGGCGTGGCCAATGTGGAGGAACATGACAAAGAAAAGCGACAGGAAGCCGCGCAGCAGGGCTCTGCACCTAGCACCGCCCGCCATTTCCGATCGCCGGCAGCTAAGGCTCCGATCAGATCATGATCACGCAACGCAACGAGAAGGCTCGGGCTCGAGGATGGAGGGCAGGAAGGTGAGGACGGGGGTGGAAAGGGGAGGGAAAAGTGCGGGTGCTTAAAAGAGGAGAAGGGAACGTGAGCTCTGTGCATGTGTGTGTGTGGCTGTGTTGGCAAAGGATGGGAGGAAGGAGAAAGGCGATCGATCCGGGGACAGCAACAGGGTGTCCGGGCGGGTACGCACGAATCGGTTGATTACTGGAGTAGTACCTAGGATGCAGATGCACCGCAGCTAAGCTAAGCTGCGCAATTATGCATCACGCAAAGCGGTACAGTGTTGCACTGAGCTGGTACTAGTGATGGTGCTTGCCCGCTGTACTCTTCCCAGCATAGCAGCCAGGGCCATGCGTCGTTACAGCGGAGAGATGGGAGATAGGGACGCAGGAATCGCAGGGACAAGGATGGCCGAAGCGGACGTGCTACCGATCGAAGATCAGCTCGAGTCCGATCAGATCAGATCAGATCAGATCGGGGTCGTCGGTACACTGGACTTCTGTGTAGTGTAGGTTGAACGGCGACGCGCATGACACCTACTTGTTTTTGCTGCATACAACAACCATGGACACCCAGGCCAATCACACTTTGCTCTAACTCTATGCTCCTCAGATTTTAAGAAAGAAATGCTCCTTTTGGTAGCAAGTCCATACCTCTTTATAGCTTTGGTTAATTGCTTCTTACTTCTAAAAACCATTCCTAGACTAAAGTGTGGAATGTCAGATTCTGGGTTAAACCTAATATACTTGCTCTTCCTCCTGACCATGTTCCCATCTTCATCTTCATCATATGAGTAGTCCTCATCAGATGATTCAAATTCCATATCATGTACAGTCTCCTCCACATTTGCGACCAGCTCAATAGGCACTGCCCCAGTTGAATCTGTATCAGCCCACCTCTTGGAATCTCTCATCTTTTTCCTAAATTTTCTTGCATGCTTTCTCAGCTCAATTACCTCTGATTCTTCCCCACTGTCATCTGTATGTGGCACATACTCAATGTCCTCTGAGTCAGATGAATCTGCAACATCTTGTCCAACTTCTGCAGTATTTTCAGAAACTACTGCAGCATTTTCAGAAACTGTAGTAGCATTTTGTGGAACTACAGCAGCATGCCGTGCAACTACTGCAGCATTTTGTGCAACTTCAGAAACTTGGGACAGATCATTTGCTGTTTCATAGGCTTGAGTTGGATTAACAACTTGAGAACACTGACTGGCACAACCACTTCTCACATTTTTCTTCAAAGGACTGCTTATCACTTGTGTGATCACACCATCTTTGTTAGGAACAACTATATGTTCAAGTATCTCTCCTCTTGCACCACCACTCTGTTCATTTCCATTGTCATGCTCATCTCCTGCAGTGATAACTAAATCAGGCTCTTCTTCACTGCCAATGCACATTAGGTCCTCAAGCTCATCTCCTTCAAAATCAGAGCCACTATCTGCTTCCTCTGGTTCATCCTCCTCACCATTATACTCCACATATACTTCAGCAACCCCTCCATCTGTAATGCAGTCAGACATCTTCATGCAACCAGCATCATCAAATAAGAAAAGCAATCCATTTATCAACTCTCTGCCAGGCAACAAAAAATGGAACTTCATGCTCTCCTTCACTATCATATGATCTCCTAAAAAGCCTTTCAGCTCCGGCAACGAGAGCTTGTCCCGCTCAATCTCCGACATTCTAGTCTCTCCACCCACATAATCAAGCGATGGACCAATCCGTATGAACTCGCCCCCAAAGTGGAATCTGACATTCAAAACTTCTGCTGGATCCATGTTTTCAATGACGAAATCCTACATTACGACAAATACATAAGCATACTTGAACTTCAGGCTACAAGTAGAACCATCAGACCATGGCAAAAATTTCCCCCTAAAACCCCCAGCTTGAATTGTAGAACCCTAAACCTAGCAACCGCAAGAGGCTAAAATTTCCCCCAAAAAAGCAGCGAACCAACAACTGGGATGAACACCGTGTACCTGCTCTTTTTCTGCAGCAGTGCTAGTCGGAGGTCGCTGCGATCATCCGCCGTTCGTCATCGCCGCCGCCAAGGAGAAGTTGATGCGTCAGGGGAGAAGGGAGATGAGCGGGCGAACAGAGCAGCTGAGAGGCGACCTGGTCCGGCTCAGCCAGTTATCCCCGTGCCTGAACTAGTTGGACCCACGACCAGAGCCCAATCAGCAATCCTGGTCACACATCAGCGAGTCCCTGTTTGGGAACGGGTTTAAGGGCGCAGAGAACTGGGATTAGAGAGTTGGGGGTGTGGATTTCAGGGATTTTAAGGTCGGGGTTTGAATTCGCCGGGTCGAACGAAGACAAGGTTTAAAACAGACTTCTCCCATCATTGATCATCGGCCTGATCTGGGCGCCTGTCCCGGTGTCTCCTCCTCTCTCTCCATCTCCATTATGCATGATCGCGTCTCCTCTCGTCCCGTCTCGCTCCACTGTTAGTATTATTGCTCGTCTACAGTAGCTGAGGTTAGAAAAATAATACCCAACGGCTCGTCGTCAGCAACGAGCGCGGCGGTCCTGCACCTGCCGACTGCCGTGCTGCAGCTAAACCCCAAAGAAAGCATACGGGGCAACGGACGGTACAGAGACAGGGTACAGAGGACGGGACAAGATACGCCCTGTTCCTCCTGCCTCGCTCCGGAACAAACGGCAAAACGTGCAGCGCCAGAGCCCGGCCGTGCGGTGCGGTGCGGTGCAGATCCCTCTGCTCCGCCGCGGCTCCATGTCCCCTTCATCGCCGAACGAAGCTCTGCACGAACGACACAACGAGCTGGATTTTAGGCCGGGGAGATAAGATGGGCGTTACTGCCAGTCACCACGCTCCTCGTGGCATAATGGCGGCTCCATGTGTGTGTTCCTGATGCCTCAAACGCGGCCAAAACAGATGGGAGGCCACGTCCAGGGTTGCATAATCATCTGCTTCCAGGTTCAGTGCACTCGAGTGAATGGAATCCGAGACGTTGCAAAGCAACGCGAACACCTCAAACCTGCGTCTAACACAAGAAACGAATGATGCTGGGCACAAAGACAGACAGTCAGTCAGACAGACCGGGGCTCTTGAGATTCGGCGCCATCACGGTGTCCTGGTGGTGGGGCTACGTAACGTAGTGCCGTTAACGTATTCCTGGTACTACTAAATGGGATTTGTTGTGTTAAACAAAAGGAAAGAACACTTCAGCACATGCATGCAACAGTCCAAGGAGACCACTCGAGTGTGGTTCCAGGACCGAATCGACACAAAAGTTAGCAGGCAAACCAAAGAATCCAAGAATCTTGTTTATCATCTTACACTTCACAGGAACTTACTAAATGAACAATTGTTCAAATCCAGCTCCAAGCTAGCATCCACCAAGATGATAAAGATCAAAGTACATGACGGAATTAAGTACACTCAACAGGCGGGCCCACGACAATGCATATGCAATACTCCCTCCGTTCCTAAATATAAGTCTTTGGAGAAATTTCACCATGAACCACATATAAAGCAAAATGAGTGAATCCACACACAAAATGCATCTATATACATCCGTATGTGGTCCATAGTGAAATATGTACAAAGACTTATATTTAGGAACGGAGGGAGTACTCCCTCCGTTCCTAAATATAAGTCTTTGTAGAGATTCCACTAGATGGACTACATACGAAGCAAAATAAATGAATCTACACTTAAAATACATCTATATACATCCGTATGTGGTTCATAGTAGAATCTCTACAAAAACTTGTATTTAGGAACGGAGGGAGTATTATGCATGCATGCCATCAGGTAATTTATGATTCGGTGATATGTTACACCGACCACACAAACTTAGTTGATAATTCAGAACACTACATTTAAACTCCTTTTAACTGCTAAGGTCGTTCGTCGAAACTCAGAAGAGTTTCCAGGTAATATAATGGGGTATGTGCACCAGGCAAGTACACAAAATTGGGAGTTGAACAACAAGGTCCAGCACTGAAGCAAACATTAGCATACCCTGCCTAGCTTTTGATGTGGATAAAAACCAAAAATGACATGACGACCATTCAGTATTTGCCAAGACAATCATATGCTAAGCTACCATGTGCATGCAAGCTTGCGGCTATCAATTTATTTGTATCATTCTAAGCGCTATGATAAATTTTCTTGACACAGCCACTCTGCCAACTAAACTGTGCCGATGTTCCAAAAGAAATGTACTTACTGTACACATATGCTGTTGCAAGTACTGTTTGGGTGCCAAGTTTAATATATTAAATACAGCATTAAATATGAACGAAAGCTGCCTTGTGGGTTCAGTGTACTTCAGTTGTGATGTTACACAATGACCAGCCCCAGTTTCAACAATTCATTTGTACCATACAACATTCCAAAAATAAGCATACTGACAAAAACCATAAATTATTGTCCATACTTGAATTTCAACAAGTCAACATGAAATCAAAAGATTATGTAGATGATCGAGCAAACAGAAGATTGTGAGTTAGCAGTCGAATTTGCACTACTAAAGAGCCTACTCTGGCAACAAAAGCAAAGGTCACAGCTCACACTATTAAGTTGGATGAAGCTGAGTTTTTGATTTAAGAAGGAAGGGAAGACATTATTATGATCCTTAGTTGATGTTTTCCTTTCACAATAATTAGTACTGGTAGGGTAAGCCCTGAAGAAGGTGCATTCTTAAATGACATTATCCTAGACCAGAGGCATGAAAAAGATCCCAGAGTTTGAAACCAGCTTGTGACAAATATACCAACAGCAAATGTTTACTTAGTAGTACATTTTTGTTCCAATGAATATCCCCAGTTTCCACATCGCTGTATTTCCAAATGATCTTTAATGTGCCTATTCTGTAACTAACTTCTAAGAGTGCCGTGAAAAAAACTCCCTAATGCTGCAATTGGCTACATAGAAAACATAAAAGATAACAGTTCA